TTTTTGTTTCTTTTCTCTGTGTGTTTTACTTTGGATAGTTTCTAACTGCTCTATCTTCAAACTCACTGACTTTCTTTCTATATTATTTACTTTGCTATTAACCCCATCCTGTCATTTTCAACTCTGGAATTTCAATTTTGGTCTTTTAAAAAAATATTCTGTGTCTATCCTTATCTCATTTATGTTTTCCTTTATCATTTTAAACAAAGAATATATTTATAATAACCATTTCAATGTTTTTGCCTACTAATTCTGTCACCTATATAATTTTTGAGTGTATTTCTATTGACTGATTTTTTCTTTGAGTTATGAGTTATATTCTTTTGCTTCTGGTAGTTTTTTTTTAAATTTTATGCCAGATATTATGAATGCTATCTTGTGGGATGCAGGATATTTTTCTATTTTTTTAAAAACATATTCTTGAGCTTTGTTTTAGAATTCAATTAAATCACTTGGAAACAGTTTGATCCTTTCAAGGCATGCTTTTATGCTTTATTATGTGAAAAAAGAATAGCGTTTAGTGTAGAGCTAATTGCTACCTGCTACTGAAGAAATACCCTTCTGAATACTCTACCTGGTTCCTTGTGAACAATGAAGTTTTTGTCTATGGTTGATGGGAACACAAACTCTTCCTACCTGTTTTTATTTCTGCAGTTTTTCTCCTATCAGGCAGTTTTCTCACACACATGCTAACCAGAATTCAGCTAAAAACCCAGGGAAATTGTACATTTCTCTGGCTCCCTTTTCTTCTCTACACAGTTCTCTCCTTCCCATGAAACTCACGGCTTTCCATGAAGTTCTCTCCTGTTTGGTACCCTCTAAATTCTAGCAGCCTTGGACTCCCTGAATTTGCAGGTCTGTGTCTTCCACTCACAGAAACTAATGGGCTCTGTCTGAGGTTCCCCTCCTTGCTCTGCGGCCTGGAAACACCCTCCATAAACTCCCGTCCAGCTTTCCTGTTATTTCCATCCAGTGTGGGGCTCACCACATTTGTTCTCATTTCCCCAAGGACTACTGTTCTGTGCTGCCTGTTTTCCAGTATCTGAAAACCATTAATTTATATGTTTTGTTTACTTTCTTAATTGCTTAAAGAGCAAAGTCTCTGTTACACCATCTCGACCAGAAGTGGTAGTTGCCTCATTAATGCTGGATGGTTATTTGCTCCTTCCATCCTTTCCTGTCTGTGTTCAGTACACGTATGCTCTCCTCACCTTATCTGTGACTAAGATGTCCTGACAGCTATTTGCTTACTTGTTAGATGTACACATTCATATTACAGAAGAGAGTAATTTTGAAAATGTTTTCCTTATTATATAAGTACAATGTGTTTATTTTGGAAAAGGTAGAAAATAAGCAGAAAGAAGAAAGCAAAAATCACCATTAAATCTTCTATATTGAGTTTACCACTTTGACATTGGCATTTCCTGATATACTGATATATATAGCAGAAGAACGTTCTCTTTAGAACAAAAACTCACTAATCACCCCACATTTGGGGAATGGCCAGTCTCATCTCAGATCTAGGGGATTCTTTTATTGGGAAACACCATTGTGTTTCTTGATGAGCTCCTCTGGCTAATGAAGATGAGGTGTCCTAGGGATATTACAGTCTAGTAGATAAGGAAAGAGATGACTTAATTGTTCTTCATATTAAAGAGAAAAGCCTATAATGTTCCAGCAGTTGTCCTAAAGTGGAGAAGAGGAAGATGAGAAAACAAAAGAAGGCTTGAAAAAGTCCATTATGAGGGCAATAAACTGGGATCTAAGGAGAGAAATTGGTCAAGTTTGCTTAATGAATTTTTAGAACATATATCTAATATTTAATGAGACATCATTATTTGTATTGTGTTGAAATCTCTAAAATTTTAGTAACAGTATGCTTTGCTATTGGTGCTTTGGAATTCATTCATTTACCAGATATTTACTGAGCATTTACTTTGTGGCAGGTACTATTCTGGGTGCTTGCAATAGAGATCCCTACCCGAGCTTGCATTTGAGTGAGGATCAAACAATTTAAAAAATAATAAATAAGTAATTTTATAATGTTTTATAAAATAATAAGCACTACAGAAAAAAGTAGAGTAGTGTTGGGGTAGGTGGGAGGTGAAAGGGCTAGTTTACAGTATCTAATAGGATGGTCAGGGTGAGCAAAGACTTCAAAGATGGAAGAGTTAACCATGTGGATATCTGGGGGAAGAATAATCTCAGCAAAGGGAATAGCCAACGTAAAGGCCCTGAAGCAAAAGCTGCTTTTCATTTCCATCCATGCTGAAATAAGCCAAGTGGTGAAAGACAAATACCATATGATCTCACCTATAAGTGGAACCTAATCAACAAAACAAACAAGCAAGCAAAGTACAACCAGAGACACTGAAATAAAGAACAAACTGGCAGTAACCACAGGGGAGGAGGGGAGAGGGATAAGGGGGAAAGTAGGGGAAGGGCCATCAAGGAGCATGTATAAAGGGCATGGACAAAGCCAAAGGGGGCAGGTTCGAGGGTGGGAGGCAGGGAAAGGTGGGGTGGGTGGAGACAACTGTACTTGAACGACAATTTTTAAAAAGCTGCTTTTCATGTGAAGGGCCAGCAAGGAGGCCAGCTTACTGTTTTATTACTCATAATCAGAAAAATAAAATAGATGTGTATATTCAGTCCAAGTGTGTGCTTTGGTAAATTTATCAATTTTAGGGAAAAACAGTGTTTGGATTTAGGGACAACAGCAAGAAATCTAAGCAGACGTTGCTTGGAGGACTGAAGTAGGATGACTATTAGCAATGAAATATTAAAAATGGCTCAAAATGGCAATAAAATATATCTCGAGTGTATCAGATTTGTTGTTGATGTTATCTTAGTAGTTAATCTTATAATTGTTTAGCTCCATGCCCCAGTCAGCTTATACACTATAGAGGTCATTTATAACTTTTTGTTTTTGTTTTTTTTTTTTTGCCACTTTCTTTTGAGGGTCCTTCCCATCTCAGGCAGTGTCAGCCAACAGGCATTAATGGCCTCTAACCCATGAATGAGGCCATAAAATAAGAGTACTTCAAACCATTGGCCACAGTAATTGGTTCTAGGATGGGAAAATTACACAATGCAGACATGGGTCCTTCTGAACATCGATGTGGACCCTACAGGTTGCATTCCTTTTTTAAGAACACCAGCTACAAAGATGACCTGAGCTCAGTGGATATATGGCTGATGTGGAAAAACTTTTTGATGAAAAGAAGAATTAAGAGGTAGAAAGAAAGAGACAGAGAGAGACAAAGACAAAGGGACAACAAGACAGAGAGACACAGAGAAACTAATGACATTATTTGAAATCCTGAATCCAGCCATGCTGGAAATCAGCATCACCCCTTTGATTACACATTATGTGAGCTAATAAATCCTTCTCTTAAACTAGGTTGAGTTAGGATTTTATCACTTGCAATCCAAAAAAAAAAAGTTGTTACATAAGAACTGTTGCCCTCTCCAAACTTTCCCCAGGATATTTCTGGCAGTCTCAGGAGGGGTCTTAACTGACTCTAGGATTGGTCTGAGCTGTGCCTCTGAGTTACCATTACTGGCAGGGCCCAGAGGGAGCTCTGCTGCTCTCAGTATGAGCTAAACCTGAAATCTGCTGGCAGGGGAGCCACTGTCTCTGCAGAAAGGAGTCCCTATCACAGGGTGAGGATCCTGCTGACTGCTCTGGGAAGTTGCTGAATGTGAACAGTGGAAAGGCTTCCACTTATGTTTTTTATTTAGAAGTCTCAAAGCAAAGCTTCTTGAGTCTCAAGATGCAGCTAAATAGAGTGTAGACCACCCTTTCAGTGGCCACATACATGCACATGTCTTCGGAGAGCCTAAGCAAGCTCTACACCTGGGACCCCTCTGCCTTTGTCTTTCAGGCTCTGCTGCAGGGCAGCTCATGTGCAAGCTTCCACACACTGTAAGGGACGCCCCCAGGGACCCTGACACCCCATTTCCACTGCTAATTGGCTTTTACTTGGTTTTCCCAGATTCAGCTGATATAGCTTCATATATACAGTGTTCTAATTATATTTATTTTATATTTTATTTCAATAGATGTCTCATTCTTAATTGGTTAGGGGAATGGGCCACCAGTGGGTGGGGCTGGTATGGTCATTTAAAAATGCCTTGCCATTTTAAAATCCTCAGTCTCGTTCAGTGGGCTCAGCCAACTACGTACAATGTGGAATGGATTTAGATCGCCGAGGCTGGGTGGCATTGAATAGGTGAGCCTGCCATGTAGGCTATTTGTTTTTGAGCCAAGTCTATGAGAATGACAGATTCTGTTAAAAAAACAAACAAACCAATAAACCTTCCAGTCTCAAATTAAGAAACAGATGTACTAGTGATTTATCAAGCTATACCAACATTTTCACAAAATAATCAGCATTATGGTAATTAATACCATAACAGGCATACATAACATCTCTTATGGGCAGACATTGTGATAGGTGCCTTCTTAGTCTTTCTGATTTGATTTAAAATGAACTATGCAATGCACTCTCTAAGTATGCAAGTGAAATCTGGAAGTAACAGTTGAATAAAATCTTTAGTAAATTTGAAACTGCCCAAAAGTTTTATATTCTATGAAGTCAAGTTAAGGCTTATTTATCTGGTTAGAGGTCTGGGGAGTAGTTGTTGAATCAGTCACCACAGCACACACACAAGGATATGGCTGTAAAGAGGGTGGTAGATGTTAGGACAGGTCCCCCATGCCTTTTGCTGGAGAAGCAGCATTTGACACTTATCAGACATTTAATTTACAAGCCTAGAGAAACCAAGAGTGCAATAGGATATAAAGCATTTGGTCCTTTCCCCCGCCCCCTGCAAACTTAGAAGACTGTGCTCTAAAATTGCCAGATAAAGGCAAAATCTTAGAAGTAATTAGCAAAAGCCCAAACACCTGGAAGCACTCAACACACGTAGAACATCCCAGTAAAACACATATTTCAGGATTTGTGACTGTATCTCTTATTTATCCTTTCTTTTACCTTGTAATGTTTCCACCCATTTCTCTGAAGCCCGCTCTGTGGGTCTCAGCAGAGCCTGCCCTTCTGCACTGCGGTGAGTCACGTCACCGCCTCCAGGTCTCCAAGCTCAGTTCTGGCCCCAGCATACCATCTTGTAGCTGACTCAGCAGTCATGGGTTCCAGCATCTGGGGAAGTCTCTGCCTCTTCCTCTTCCTTCCTTCTCCTGCTGCACACACCAAAACATGCTGAATTGCTAAAAGAACACAAAAGAACAAATGAGAACTTAAAATGAAAGAAGACACGATGTACTTTGTTGTTCTTCCATTGCTCAGTGTATTGAAGCAGACAGGTTCTGAGTAACCGAGTGCACTGCCTGGCACAATGTGCGGAAAAAAGGTTTGATTATTTGTCAGTCATCCTGGCTGGCCGAGAGAACTGCCTCTTGCCACTGGTGCCATGGAGGAGCATTTGGGCCAAGTGTCTGGTCCCCCAGTGTTGTTGTTGGAGTGCAGTCCACCCATCGGCCCTGCGGAGCAGCTGTGCTTTGAAGCAGCGGCGCAGTGCTTAAACAGAATCGTTAGTGAACTGGAGGCCCGGTCCCTAATTTAAAAGCTCGCTGCCCTCCTAGGCGAAGTACCAGTCTTTGTCAAAGTTGGCCAGTGTTTGTAAAGCTTCAACATTTTTTATCATTCTTTTGTTAAGTAATGAAATGAGTTATATTAAAAAGGAGCAGCACCAAGAGGAAATGGAAGCACCTCAGAGGTGAAAAACCAATGAGTAAATATTTGTACATTCCTCCAATGGTGGCAAGTGGGAGAGGGAGGCATCGTTGGAAACTAGGGAATTCCTTTCTTTCTTCTTTGTGGATTTTTCCACATGATTATCATAAACTGTGAAAGGATTGGAACATCTTGACTTGCTGCAAGCTTTCTTAATTTTAGCAACTAAAAACATGACCCTTCCATTTTCTTTTCTTCTTCGCTCCAAGAATCTATACACCAGGACTTTCCCCTCTCTCTAAATCAAACATCCCTCTTTCAGTATGTGCTGGTGTTTTTCCCCTCAAAGTCAGGGCTGTCCGTCAAGGTGAGCAGGTACCTTTTCAAAAATATGTAGCTTCTTACTGTTTTCTGTTTCTGTGTGCGTACTGGATTTTCTTTTTTTCCACAACTAGCAGAGTTGTAGATGGTCAGTGATAATTTTTCAGAGGGTAATTTGTGGGGCAATTGTGACTTGAAACAGCATCTCACCAGCCCACAGCCTGCCACTTCCCCTCCGTGTCCATGGCAGACGTTATGTATATCCACTGTGGGGCACCTTCCCCCAGGTTCTGGGTGTGCCTCCGACTCTTTCTCAGTGTCACGTTCTGGACAGCTGTACCAATCAGAACTGGCGCACGAAGGGACTTTTCTTTTTTTTTTTTTTTTTTTTTTTATTTTTTTTTTTTTTTTTTCAGTTTTTTTGTCCATTCCTCCCATCCCAGCCTCCCCTGCCCTGGGCTCCAGCGTTTCTGATCAGTCTTAGCAGAGTCACCTACACTAGCTCTCCTGGGCAGAAAGAGGTGAACAGGGATTCCCCTCCTGGAAGGTACTTCAAAAAGACTTATTTCCTGAGCCCCCTGAATCAAAGCAGCACCTGCTTTAAGGATTCTGGAAGAATAACATCTGGGGAAGTCATTTCCAATCATAGGGAATTTCAATTTCAAGTAGCCAGGAGGAGACAACCAGCATGAGAGTCTAATAATTACTGATACCATGACAGACTGCTATGACTTCTTATTTAACTGAACATTGATCCTCCCCGCTCGTTAAAAGACTCCAGATATAGCTCTGTCTGGGGATGCCCCTACCACAACAACCCTGAGTTTAGAGAAGAGGATGAGAAACTTAGAAGTATCACAAAACAGACACAGCTGCCTTTCAGAATGAAAGAGGGGTGGGAGGAGTCAGACAGCAGGGAAATCCTCATTATCTGTATTTCATTAATAAAAAAACCTGTGATCGTTTGGACAAGACAGGGACTACAGTGAATTCTGTCCTATCTATGAAAAATTGCAGGTAAATTAAGAAGGTGAATAAGATTATGCTGTGTAAGATAACAGATTGTTTTATACATTTAGAGAAACCCATGTTATTGAATGTATCTGAGAACACAAAGACTGCATGTCATTTCAAATGTTCTCTAATTTAAACTTTTCCAAAATTGAGGCCAGCCTTCATTCAGGTCGTCTGAATTTGTTTTTCTTAGCAAAGCTCTAAAGGACACTCTGGGCTTTTCAGAAAATAGTACCCATTTGTCCTACATACCTTCATCATCCTGATCCCCTTTTAAGCCAGCTAGTTCCTAGTTTCCTTCTGCATCTTCTGCATCTTCTACCCTCATCAGTATCTCTGTCTTACTTCTTCTGTCACCTCTCTTACAAATGCAACATTGACTTCCTTGAAACTCCTGATCATCGCCTCCATTTTCCAGGTTACCTACAGTAGTGCTTCTATTTAAGCCTCAAGGAGTAACCATGCCCTTAATAGAAATAAATGGAAACATCTCACCCTTAAACCTGCCCTTAATGTTGGTTCTCTCAGCAAGTGTGGTTCAGTCTTGCTAATGAGCCTGGACACAATTAGTAAAGTTTTGATATAGAAGGATCTATTTTAAGCCAATTTATCAATTTGGCATGTTTTTATTTGTTTCTTTTGAAATTTATTTTCATTTTCCTGGTGGTATATTTTGCCCTAATCTTGGTAATTTCACACACACACACACACACACACACACACACCAAACAAAACACTCTCAGAGCAGAATCTCAGGGATCTTCTTTTAAAGTCATCATTGAAAAACTTTAATAACTGTCTCTAACAGCACAGGACAATGATTTACAGGCAATATTTATTTTTGTGTACATATGTATTTAATCTGGCAAGTCTAGAAGGGGTTGAGGTGCTTTGCCTTGAGACCATCATTTCTGGAACTTGGAAAATGAAAAAAATATTGACAATGCAACAGGATTTTTCTTCTTTGAATATCTCATTATTTCAAGGACTCAGACTCAAATATGTAAAGACATTCAGTGCATTTTGTTTATGCTGGGTACAAATGGACCTCAAGAAGTTATTCAAGATTTACTAATGATATGGGCTGGATTGCCTCCCTTTTTCCTCAAAGTAATGTGTCCTCAGTGAAACCTTCTCTGATCTGCTAGTTTAGATTATGTTCCTTTTTGTGCTCTATCACCATACTTTCCCCTGTGGACTTTCTCACTGTAGTTATTGTTGTGATCATTCATTTACCGTATGGTCTACCACTGTTACTATAGGCTTTGTGAGGGGAGGGGGCTTGTTCGGTCTCTTTTATGCAGTACTCCAGTGCTTATTATTGTACCTGACATGCAATAGGTGATCAATATAAAAACCCATTTTCTATAGCAACAAATAAAAACATCATAAGAATAAGAATAAGTATACAAAACACACATGAAAAAACTTTAAAACACTTCCAAAGGGTACAAGAGAAGACATAAATAAATGCAAAAACAAACCATCAATTTACTTAGGAAAACTTAAAAACATAACTACAAAAAGGTCAACACATACTGAATTAATTTGTGTATTTAATATGTTCCATAATTATGCCAATAGATTATTTTAGACTTGAAAATGTAATTCCAATGTTCAAATGGAAACAAAACAGAACAGCCAGAAAAAAATTTGAAAACAGAAATAATAGGAATTATACCTCCCAGATAATATATTACTAAACTTCAATAATTAAGCCATGGTATTTGCACATGAACAGTCAGACCAATAGAATAGATGAAAAGTCTAAGTTGCATCTCAGATTAATGACACAAGACATTTTTTATTAAATAATGTTGGGGCATCTGAGTAACCATTTAGAAAAAATAAAGTGGAACCTGTACTTCATGTCATACATCCATCAGTTTAAACTCCAAAATGGATAGGAATTTGAAATCTAAAACTGAAACCATAAATGTAATTGAAGAAAATGTAACATAATTTAGTAGAGGATCTTGGAGTGGGGAATGTCTTTTTGGAACTATGTTAATATCTAGAAGCCGTAAGTAAAACTTTGATAAATAGTTTAGATAAAACAACAACAAAACAACCCCTTAAGAAAAGTTAAAAAAAAATAAACACCTAATCAGAAACCATATGCACTTTTTATTACAGAAAAAAAGCTGATCTCCCTAATGTAACAAGAATTCCCAGAAATCATCAGGGGAAATAGGCATGATCACACTTGTTGGCGGAGTGTAAATTGATAAACACTTACAGAAAGCAAATGATCAATAGCCAACTATCAAAAATTACACATACATAAATCATATAAAATACATGAAAATATAAAGTTCTGAAATGGACTGGGTAACATAATGTTCATTTAAAAAAGACTATGTCAATAAACAAATGGAACCACATCAAACTAAAAAGCTTTGCACAGTGAAAGAAACCATCAACAAAATGAGAAGGGAACCCTTTGAATGGGAGAATGTTATTTGGCAGTGATACATCTGATAAGGGGTTAGTTTCCAAAATATATAAAGAACTTACACAACTCAATGCCAAGAAGATAAACAACCTAATTATGAAATGGCCACTAGACTTAGATTAGGAAGTGGGTGTCACCTCAGAATTATACAAAGGGTCATAGGAGGTCTAATTAGTGTCCTGCCTAGGATCTGTTCACTGGGGTTTTTGTTGTTGAAGGAGTGATGGAGAGCATTCTGGCATCTCGTGTATCAAGAAAAGAGTCTCTAAACCAAATATGACAAAATTCAATCACTTTCTCTAGACACTTTCTGACACTTTTTCTAGAAGTTAAGCTACTTCAAGGGGACACCAAACATACTCTTCTTGCAAGAGTGCCAACAGTGGCCCCTGTCTTCATGCTGTGAAAGAAGTATCCTAATTAGAAATCGAAGTGTTTTGGGATGAAGTGTAAAGTTTATTACTGTATTTGTACCATTTCCCTTTTAACACTGGAAGAAATAGAGATTATAAAACAAATTTCTCTTCTGATATATGCCTCTATCACAGGGTTACTTTTTACAAGAGCATACAGTGTACATATGTTCTAAACCCAAATAGAGCAGTTT